GGGTGTCGCACTACGGATCCCCATCCACCATCATAACTGACCGTGGAAAGCCCTTAGAATCTTCATAATTCGATATGTTCTGCAAGATACTACGCTACCGCCGCATTCACACTACAGCGTATCACCCAGTAGCCAATGTTTTAGTCAAACACTTCCATAGACAGCTTAAAGCCTCGCTCTGCGCCTCCTGACCCTAGCTGGAGCGCAAACGTTTCGCCCGTACTCTTAGGAATTCGCAGTAGCATCGAAGCTGATTTGCGATGCGCACCAACGAAGCTAGTTTATTGCACAACGTTGAAGTTGCCAGGAGAGTTCATTTCATCTCCCGCATCATCGTGCATGCCTCCGCCTGACTTTGCGTCCTCCCTAGTTCAATGCATGAGATCACTACGCCCGACTCCGCCCCGTGAGCAGACCAAATGTGCAAATTCACAACGGACTTTACGTGCATTCACGTCTTCCTCAGCACTGACGCAGTGCGGCGCCCTCTCCAGCCTACCTACAGTGTCCCATACAGAATCCTGCGATGTACTGCGAAACATTTCACATTAGACCAGAATGGTCACCGCACAACGGTGTCCATTGACAGCTTTAAAATGGCTTCCTTTGGAGCCAACTGCAACCCATTCTGATGCCATCATACACGGAACCGCATCTGCGGTGACTTCCCGAGCATTAGATACCACGAAACCCTTTGTTCCCCTTGACCCTCAACCCACCCCGACTCAACTCCAGGCAACTGGCCGACGTGGAAGACAGGTAAAACGTCCGGTCCGTATTTCAGATTTCGTAAACGTACGCTATTTTCATTAACACACCTTGTTTGTCTTTAGTGGTAATCCTGCGTCTCATCCACAAACTTTTTCTATATTCATCAAAAATTCTCAATGTTTAGAAAATCTAAAAAGCGTATTTGCTTTTATCATGCATACTATGTTCCCTCTCCGGTGTCAATATATTTTTCCCGACCACTGTCTACCCCTCTGAGTTCTACCTTCCGGAAACTCAACCACCGAAACTGCCAAGGCAACCCTCGAGTGATTTGGCAGCCGGCTCAAGGCCCCTTCCTGACCCAAGGAACAGTCAGGCGCCCTCGATCGGAAACGGCCACGAAAGCGGTGATCCCCAAATGCCTGGATACGCGTTGCTGCCGAGGACGTCCGGATTTCTTCGTGGGACAAGGACCGTGGACTGGAGTGCGGTAGGGGGTGATACCAGCCAAGCGCACGCACCGGAGGAAATGTCCTGTCGGCCTTTATTCTGGCCTAGCCAGTATTTTGCAGTCCGACGAGCCTGCCCCGACGGCCCACCGATGACGCACTCTGGTCCATACGATCATCATAAATAAGAAAAGCTTGGACCCAGCGAACTCCGCTGCCCACCACAACTTGGAAGCCCGTGTTCAAACCCATGCTACTACTCGCACCCATCCACACCTCCGATATCCACTCACTGGCAGCTCTATTGAAGACTTCCATCCTCCAGCCCTCTAGTCAGTGGCCCTTGTAATGCCCCTGAAAAGACACTTTTAGTATGGAAATATTTTGGTGTTACTCATCCCAACACTTTCAGTAGGTTACAACTTTGGATTTTACTGTTGTTTGAAACTTCATAACCTCTATTTATTTTACTGACGGCACTTGCGTTTGTATAAACTGCTTTCGTGAGTCCCGTGCTATAACCGTTCCTTGCCCTTGTTGATTCGCTCCCTACCTTTGTAGCCTGTACAATACACGTTGGGTTCAATCGCCTCCAAGGTCTATACTGTCCCGTACTTGACACTTCTCTTACGTGTCATTGTTACCGTCCATTATTTCAGGCGCCACCCAACACATCCAAGTGTTGTGATACCCGTTTCTCACTACACATGGAGCCAGGTACGAGCAGCGCCTTACAGTGTCCCAAGCTGCTTATTGACGGCGACGGTTTACACCCTGTTATATCAGTGAAGTACCTAGGCTTGGTGCTGAACTATGATTTAACTTGCATTTTTCAAGTAAATGAAGCTTTCACATAATTCAGGTTATCATTCTACGCCTCCCGTCTAAGAGCCTCCACTGACCCTCGAATTGTTCTCCAAGGAATGTACTGCTCACCTGTGATTTTCCCGGTCCTCTGGGTAAGCACTTTAAATTCAGGTCATTACGGCCCTTATATCGATGTAGCGGCGTTCCGCAGCCTACTATTTTCCATATATTTCTGTCCATACACACCAATTCTTGTGAAAACAATGGCATCTAAGGTACTGGCCGATACAAGTCATCCGCTTCACAACATTTTATTTGAATGTCTGTCAAGTCCGTCTGCTAGGCAGAAGTACAAGTTGATATACGTTCGCATACAAGCATACCGCTCGTCAGTCATCCCCTATCTTTCGCGTCTTCTGTGAGATCCTGTCGTTCTAGACCTAACCAGCCGAATAGCGGTATGATGGTGTTCCTGTCTATTCTTTATCAAAGCGCCTTCATGGTATTGTTTTGTAATAGATTTATATCTTGGCACATTGGTGAGATCGTTTGTTGCAGCCAGCCAAGAACGTAAAAAACAATCTCTGGATTTTACTAACGGTCACTGATTGTTCGTTCTTCAGCAGATGGTAGCTGTCAAGATTGTTTTCTTCGCTGAAGCTCGCTCCAAGTGACGTTGGGGAAAATAAGAACATCATACTTGTCAGTCGAAAGACAAATGGCTGGCAAAAGAATCGTCTCTACTTCGTTTGCTGACTGCAGTCCTACTCGTAGGAGCCGAGGTTTCCCGTAGTTGGCCAAGTTTAGGTGCCTTCCTATGCGTACCATGCTAACCAGCTTAGCACGGAAGCACATCAATAGGTATGTGGATTACCACTGTATGCGGCGTCCTGTAGTTCAGCTTTTATGGAGTTCGCGTCAGGTTCAAGGTCGATAGAGCATATGATCGTCAACGAATCATAGGCTAGTCATGAAGTGACTTGTTTGTGAGGAAATTTGTTCCGAGTTTTTGGCGGTGATGGGCGCATGTGTGGCACATTTAGCGCCGTATGTGATCGCGTCAGTTTCGGCCACAGAATTTGGTCATAGCTCGGGTGCAGCGACAACGAACGGACCTGGCTGTTTTCCTAGTATCACAATGGGATTGTCCGAAATTTATGGTGTTACCCATACACGTGTCTCAGACACTACGTTCAGATGTGAAGTCTTGAGCATAGGTACGATACATCCCGGAAGGATACCTTAGACTAGTCGAGATGCCTTCGGTCATCGCCGCTGGGTGATCGCATTTTTGTGCCATACAACCAGTGCAGAACCAAAAGGACCTTGCTTTGTTGTTTGGCTCTTTTACTTTCATTGTTGTCAGATGGGCGCATTAGGTAGGGGCAATATTTCTTACATTCAGAAGATAATATACCAGTTCGAACCGTATTTGCACAGCTAGGCTTCGTTCGATGTAGGACTTAAGCCATGTTCATGACTCGATTTCTGATTCCGCGTATATATGAAAAGCAAGTGAGGAAGTTATCCACACACATGTGCACGCACATGAAAACTTCACTAGACTTTTGAACAGAGCAGGCGGGGTAAGAAGAAACGTGGCGCAAGCGAAATCGCACGAAGGGGCGACAGATGCATCCTATTCCGGTGGACACCGCAGCTAGGTGCCCGGCGCCTTTGGATGTTAGATGAACAGCAGTGAACAGGCTCATAACTGGCGGCTGCAAAAAACATGCAGTGTTTGATGAGCATGATAGTGAACTATCACCATAACTTTGGATATTCCTTCGAGGGTTTATAACAAATCCGTTTGGAAAAATGAGGCGATTGCGCGCGTGAGCTGCAGTAAACCCCTACCAGAGCTGCCGAAGTGAATAAGATGTTAAGAACAATCTGATAATCTATAACTCACTCTGTAGAGCTGATAAATCCGAGTCGAATGATTACAGATTCCATGTTAAGGAGCGTATACGAGGAAATCAGGAGTGCCGAAATGTTTCGGTTACACAGTCATAGTGAGGTAGGTTGTAGCATTTGAATAATAATTCTTTTATTCGCTACAGTGCGAGGCATGATCATGGTAACACCAACGCGAAGTATCGGTCAATGTAACAAGTTAACCAGTTACAAACTGGATGGATATGTGTAGGTGAATATGCAGGTAGGTAGCCACTGAGGCTGGACCTTACCGTGGTGCGATGGTTTGAGTGCCTCAGAGGTCCAATGAGCTATGCTGGATGGTGCGTTTTTTGCAACTGCAGAGCCACGCATATCAGATTGGTTAATGGTTAGAGGCCAGACAAACTCAGCCTCCAGGTTGGGGGTTGGAATGAAGGTGGCTCCTAATTCCATAAAACGGGCTCTCTGTAGTCCATTGCCAAAACCCGCTTCCTTACGGTAAGGCTTTTGAACCAAAGGCTTTGGCTGAGAACTCTAATCGTTCTCCTGTCTAGGCCTGGCCAACCTGACAGTATTCTGCCCACGCAATACAATTTCTTGATGCTCTGGCCGTCGCAGAAAATAATAAACGGCGCCCTATCTGCTGCATCGAGCAGGGTGGATAGAGGTATGGATGCTACTGCTCAGGCCACAACGTCCTAAAAGCATTGCCGCCGAACCATTCGCTGGAAGAAGATTTACATGAACCACCTAGCTGGCACTACGGGTTGTTCGGCGACAGATAAAATATCATGATCTGCATCAAACACAGTTTACTGAAACCAATAGCAGTTATAAGGCGCGAAGTCAACAATTTGCAGTAGTCGCTATACTGTCGTTTCATCCTTCGGAGAAGTATGACGCCACGGCTCATTATGACAACACTTTATCGATTGTCATACGGAAAAAACCATACGACGATACAGTCCCATCAATTCAGTTCTACCGGATCTAAGTCACAGTGTGCGGAAAAGATCGCAGATCCGTATTTCTGCAACTGACCAATGCACTGGACAGCGGCGCTGCGTAAACGACATCCGATATTTGGGTTAAAACAACCATAGAAAAGACTCGTAACAAGTCTCCAGGAAGACTGTTGTTTTCACATTTTGTAATTAGACGCTGGTCACGAGCGTCGCTGAAAGCCATTCCGAAAGAAACAGGGAAAGGGACTGCAGTTAGGCTGTATGGATACAATGACGCAGACAGAAATACAAATTCAGAAGGTAGAGACGGAGCTGGACTCAGGAAATTGCAAGACTACATACACCGAGGTATCACAGATATAAAACAAACCAATGCTTAGAAACCGGATGCGCAGTAAGGGGGAGCTGTCAGAGTTAATAAGGAGGATGATTCGTAAACGGAACTCAATGTACATGTCCCATAGAGAGAGTTAATGGAACCAGTGATCCAACAATCAAAGTGAAGAGATCCAGAAAACTCATGCGGCGAGTTTTGTCAAAAGCAGGGGTGGCAGAATCGGTGGACGCGAGTAACGGGTCTTGAGATCCTACTGCATACACGGTGTATTCATCAGATGCGCGCTGAGTAGACGATGATTCAGTAGGACCCGACGCAGTGTGGACAATATCCGGTAGAATGTGCGATGCCGCAACGTAAAGAAATGTTCCACCGGAAACCAAAAGCGCAAGTCCTGTCTTATCCATTGAATGGGATTTTATCTGAGGATATCATGAATGTAGAGAGATGACCAGAGATCAAATACCAGAAATTTAGGTCAGTCACAAGAACAAAGACCGCAAGCACAAAACAAAAGAGTAAGCAGAGCTTTGCCGAATAGATTTCATACTAAATTTCAAGATCACAAACATCCACTTTAGTGAGGTTAGTACTTCAGATAAAAGTGTCCTAAGGAAGCTACCAGGTATAAGAAAGACATCGTTACTACACAACGGCAGCTTCAAATATATCATCTCATTCGACAAACGAATGGTCACGGTACAGCCTACCTACCAAAATACCCCGGACGCCACAGTGTAGCAAGAAAGATAGATAACCCAATAATAATGGTCACTACAGGCCGCGTTGAGCTCAACAAGCGAAAGAAAAAAACGAAGCTTAGAGGTATTCGTGAAGACATCTTTCATTGTACCATGTGCAGTTTATGTTCCATATAAGACCTCTACCGAGTGAGTGACGTCAATGTAGGAGAGTATAAACAGTCTGGTTTAGTTATTCACTCCCAACTGGATGCGGGGCAATAGGGATTCAATAGCCTGGCAGATAATAAAAATCTATGAGATGCCAACGGCACAGGATAATAGGTCCAAGCATAATGAAGCTGGATTGACTGCAAAAGCAGTGAGGACAACTAAGCAGAGTGGAATCGCGCTGCATTCCAAACCTCCAAGGCGGAGGATTAGAGAAGACAAGCACCAAAGGATTATGGGCATCATTCAGATTCATTGCGGAACTAGAGGCAGGGTTCAAATAGAAATGAATCTGACCTTACATACTTATGGGGGCAGGGTATTTTCGATGGAACCCTATAGAGGTGCATCGCGGAAGCAACAGTGTATCCAATCAAAGTCAGGAGTAACAAGATAGAAAATCCGTAAGAACACCTTATTTGAGTCTCATTTTCATACGCTTATACTACCGCGATGGTATTTAGCGCATGGAATGTCTCGGGAATAGCAAATTCACGATTTCATCTGTCGCAGTCAACGGATGCCGGGTTGTACATGCAAAACAAAGTGCAGGAATATGTTAACAATCGGTAAATTAGTCCACACAATCAGTAGATACCGAATAAGGAATTTTTGATGGTTTCAGAATATAAGACACAATCCACTGATACTTGGAACTTCGTCGAAGTACCACGACAATCTACGGCGTATGCAACTATGGCAACAATCTTCCTATTCCCGATAAACAAGTTCGTCGATCCATTAAAAAACTCACGATCAAGCTGGCGAACTGAGCATTTTTGGTCGTTTAGGAATAGACGCCATGTCTAACAAGGGATAGGAGGTACAATGGAAGTTAACTGTGTTGTACTAGGTTCCAGGCGACTAGCCTTCCGTTAGCATATGTTGTCGTTAAGGAGTTCAGCTCCGGACTCTAAAGAAACATGTTTTGCTGAGATCTATTGACAAACTGCAGACAAATTGAGCCATCAAGTAGGCATCTCCAAGGGAGCGAAAAACAGTCGTAGTTGAAGAATTTGGAACTGCTTATACACAGATGAATTACGACAGTTTCGCCAATCATATGACTCGCAATCACAATAGCCATAAAACTCGAGAACAGGTGTATTTGGAGCCAGTGTTGCATGTTAGGCGACACGAAACAGTGCGCGAACGATAAAGGACGAAGTAAAAGGTGACCCCTCAGTTTGACAGGTAAAATCTGTACGCAGTTACTATAGGCGTCAAATGGTTGCCTTGCAGAACCACTTCCACGTAGTGGCAGTTGGGTGGCTTGAGAAATTAGTGTTCTAACAATTGGTTCAGCAATAGGGGGTGGTTTTTGCTTGGCAAGCGTCCACCCCATACAAAGCAATGAATGTCTGCCTAACAAAACTGCGACATGTCGGACGTCACTCGCTGCCTCGTTTTCCTTGGAGACATTGTATAACTGCAAGCAATCCGTGTATCAGGCTTTCCACTGACGCCAAGAGTGTTGGGTCTTTGGTACGCGCCATCGCCATCTGAAAGGCGTATGAACTGATTATTCGGGCACATGCTCCCAACGGGCGGTTAACGATTGTCTCGGGCTGCTGCTTTGTAGGTTAGGCCCTTTGCGCGAAGACTAGGTGGTCCTCTAATACAACTTACATACGTCGGCATAGGTAACCAGGTAATATCTCGCCTACTGACGAATCATAAAACCGCACTCTCACGCGTGTGATACAAGCATACCCGCTGTCATCTTTCCTCTTCAACTTCGCTATTGATGAAGTCATGGAAACCGCGTTAACAGGACCCGACTGAGGTATGAATCAGCTCCCAGGAGAACGACTTCCTGACTTGGAGTGTGCTGACGATATTGTCCTGATCTGTGACAGCTCACAAACGTGCCAAACCACACTGGACAGATTAGCACTGCTTGTCCGTCACTTCGGGCTTTGATTTGCACCCTCGAAGTGCAAAGCGTTTTCCAAGATTGGCCTGAACCGCCTCCTTCGCTGACATCTTGGTGGGGATCAGCAAGAAGTCGTTCAAAAAACTTAACTGCCTGGGAAGCCGTATCAGCGCTCGTGGGATAGAAGATGTGATCACGAACCGCAAAGCAAAAGCTCGAGGCGCTTTTGCTAACCTTCACTCTTTATGGCGCTAGCGCGACATCACTCTCGCCCCAGAGGGTAGAGTGTACAATGCAGCCGTACGTTGGACCCTACTGTACGGTTGTGAAATCTGGCCCCTTAGATCAACGGACATAAAGAGGCTAGTTACGTTCGACTACTGGTGCCTTCGCAATTTAGCTCACATCTAGTGGGAACACCGAGTAAGCGACGAGCGTGTTTGACGCCTGGTTTAAGGCACTGAAAAAGGAAATGAACCACTCAGTACCGTTATTTCAAGCATCAGGCTCCGATGCTTCGGTCATGTGTTATGCATGCCAGCCCACTGACTCCCGCGACGTGCGTTGTTTGCTCGCCGGGGGTGTGGATGGAAGAAGAGGAGAGGTGGCCAAGCGGTGAATTAGTCGAGAGGAATGAAGGCCCTCACTTCGAAGCTGGCTTCAGTTGGAGAGTCTTGACTCCCTGGTTGGAGTCCGAAAGAGGATGAACACGTTTGGCTGGATACACTTGCTAATATGGCTAGGAGCTGACCTCAGTGGCGTTCGTGCTGTGAGTTTCTTTGTCCCACCCCATTCCTCCTAAACTCCCCCTCCAACCACGATCTTACTATTTAGCCTTTTATAATGTTGCATAGTAAATTATTTTTTGCTGCTGCATAGTAGCCGGTTGGTAGCTTACCTGAAAGATGCTCACCCGTTACCGGTAGCCCAGCTGGCCTGCAACAGTTGCATTTCATTCCCTTTTTTCTTTTAGGTGATGCGGCACAGTAGCTGAGATGTTTCCCACCTCTAGCTAACGCGTATAATGATGGGGATGATGATGCTCGCAATTCCTGTACCAATCACCGGGGGATTAGTCTTATTTCGGTTACCTCCAAGCTTTTGGCGCCTATTCTACTTTGTAGACTATCTCCCATTCGCGAATCGCAGTACAGGGAAGAACAAGCTGGCTTCCGTCCAGGCAACTGGTGTTTGAGTCAGATATCTACGCTCCGTCAAATCCTGGAACACCGCCACCTTTACCATCCATAGGCCTGGATGGACATCCGTGCAGTATTCGACTCAGTTGATCGACCTGCACTATGGCGTTGTTTGCTAAGGAACGGTGTCGCAAAAAAGTATACCGTCATCCTATGTTCACTCTAGCTCCACATCTCTGGCAGAGTGAGGGTGTATGGCAGGCTTTCGTCGTCCTTCACTGCCAATAGCAGTGTACGACAGGGCGATTGAAGGCGTCCTGTCGACAGCTCTAAACGATTACCAAAATTTTGGTCTACACCTACTACCGATTAAGCGAGCGACCGACTTAGATTATGCCGATGATATCGCCTCATTTGGTAACGACTCACAGAGCACGCTAACCACTCAAAACCTTTTGGCAATGGAAGTATCTAAGTAAGGAATGTGCTTAGCCCCGTCAAAATGTAAAGTGCTGCTTCAGGATTGGCACTCAACCGTACCCGTGCTCACTATTGAAGGTACACAACTTGAAGAATGAACAATGATTTATCACACGATAAAAGCAAGTGCTTGACACGTCCCGTAGTATGGTTGGGGTGAATACGACGAAATCGAAAGATATGTAGGTCATCTACCAAACGTCTACCGAGATGAACATTTTGATAAATAACGTCAGTGTAAAATTAAAAAAGTCGAGCGTAAACGTTCGCAAATACACTGCGGTGCAGTGGTCGTTGAGATAAGGAGTGAGAAAAGTAAAATATGGTCGCTCACTTGGTTCCATTTGATACATAAATTCTGTAGAAATACACGCTTGGCGTAATCCACAATAGAGGAGTTTGGGTAACAGTGCTGGGTGCTAAGAGCAACATCTAATCATTTTTTGAAAACGTCCAAGGTAGGGGAAGATACAACTGAGTCTAGGAGTGCGTTTCAGGGTTGGCAAACCCGAAGGGAAAAGTAATTCCGTCGACACTCTAGACGGCTACATTGTTCCTTCAATTTTAAGCAGCTACCCCTAAGCTGCGTGTTGTGGTTAAGCTTCAGCAAGTGGCGGCATACGTGGTTGGGGTCACCCAATATCTTATACGCTAATATGAGATCCCCGCGCAGCCTTCGATAGCGTACGCTGAAAATTCCCATCAACTTCAGCCTTCGGAATGATAGCGCAGGCCCTTTACATTCTTTGCTGCTCTTTGTTGTGGTGCCTCCAATGCCGCTAGGTCGCGCTTCAACCAAGGTTGCCAAGCTTGGATAGCGTATTCAACATGCGGGCGCACGTAGGAATTGTGCATCATTTGGAAGATTGATGGGTCGAACCTCCCGAATGCCCTTCGCAGCATGCCGACGTGCTGGTTGCCTCTTTTCGCAGCTACCTCAGCCTGTTTTGAACAGTTGAGGTCGCTCTGTACGAGCACACCAAGGTCACATGCCTGGGAGCTGGTCTGCAATCCGT